GTTATGAAACACAATATACTTAAATAAACATAAAATAATACAATTACTAAATCTAAAAAAATGAAAAGTAAAAATTATGAATAACTTTCGTAAAGTGAATAAGAAAATAATTTTTTTGGGAAGTGCAGTGATTATTACTAAATGTGCATTAATGTCGTGTAGTAACTATAATATAAAGCGCAATAATTCTAACTGGACGAAATTAGTGCAAAATCTACATATTTTTAAATAAGGGTATTTTCTGTGAAAGTAATAAACAGGCTTAACCAGACTGGTAGCCCTGAGAGTATATTTATAATGAGTAAGTTGCCAAATACAATTAGGAAACTAACTAATAATTGATTTTACACTATTACACCCCCTCAATCTATGCAGGAGGAACTATGCGTAGATTGTCACGTAAAAACAAGAACTGCTGAGAAGCCAAGCTCTTGGTGAAAATATCAGCTAGCTGGAACTTCGTAGGAACATACTGTACGACAAGATCACCATGAGCCACACGTTCTCGAACAAAATGATAATCAATATCAATGTGCTTGCTACGAGCATGCTGGATTGGATTCGCAGATAAATATGAAGCAGAGACATTATCACATAACAGACGAACCGGTCGATGAATAGGAAAGCCAAGCTCGAATAAAATAGAACGAATGTGTAATGTATCCTGGACTGTGTACGCAATGGCTCTGTATTCAGCTTCTGTAGAGGATCTTGAAACAGTGGGTTGTTTCTTGGACTTCCAAGAGATTAAATTTGGACCAAGAAAAACAGCAAATCCAGATGTGGAACGACTACTATCAGGACAACCAGCCCAATCAGCATCAGAATATGCTATAACAGAGTGCGGATGAGCGGACTTCTGTAGATGTAAACCGTGAGTAATCGTGCCTTGAAGATACCTGAAAATTCTCTTAACAGCCAACATATGTGAAGTACGAGGAGCATGCATAAACTGAGAAACCAAGTGAACAGCATATGTAATATCAGGTCTAGTCATAGTCAAATACTGCAATGCACCTACCATACTACGATACTCGGTGGCATCAGCAAGTAACTCACCATCAGTGAGAGACAACTTAGTTCTGCTAGGTAATGGCGTGCGAACCGACTTAAGAGTATGAAGATGAAAACGGGTGAGAAGATCTGACACATATTTGGCCTGAGATAAAAATAAACCAGAAGAATTTCGCACAGCCTGAACCCCCAAGAAAAAATGAAGATCCCCTAAATCTTTCATAGCAAAATATTTCCCTAAAAGAGAAATAAAATTACTAATAAGAGTAGAAGAATTTCCAGTAATAATAATATCATCCACATACAGTAACAAATATATGAGTCGAGTAGCCTGACGAAATATGAACAAAGAATTATCAGCACGACTACACACAAAACCATGAGTCAATAGAAAACTACTGAACCGATGAAACCAAGCACGGGGAGCTTGTTTGAGACCATAAATTGCCTTGCGCAGACGACAAATATGATTAGGAAACTGAGGATGAATGAAGCCAGGAGGTTGACGCATATAAACCTCTTCAGTGAGATTACCATGAAGAAAAGCATTTTTAACATCCAACTGACGAATAGGCCAATTATAGGAAACAGCTAAAGTTAAGACAATACGAACAGTGGTGGGTTTGACAACAGGGCTAAAGGTTTCAGAGAAATCAACCCCAGCTTGCTGCTTAAAACCTTGGGCAACCAGACGTGCTTTATGTCGTTCAACAGAACCATCAGAACGATATTTAGTTTTATAAACCCATTTAGACCCAACCACATTTTTACCGGAGGTAAACGACACTAATTCCCATGTGTTATTAGCAATAAGGGCATTAAATTCCTCAGCCATTGCAGCTCTCCATTTAAGATCTTTATTAGCCATAGAAAAGCAAGTCGGGTCAGGAATTAAAACCGCAGTATTTAAATTAAAAATTGTTTTTGGTTTAAAAATTCCTGACTTAGACCGTGTTTGCATGGGATGATGATTTTGAATGATAGCAGTTTCGGAGTCATGTACATTACCACCCTCGGTGCTGATCCGAGACGAGGAGCCCAGCCCGATAGAACTGTCCGACACCGCCACCACCGGGGTCACACTTCCAGACCGAAGGTCAGGCGCAGAGGTGGCGGACGAAGTATGCTGCTGCCGTGGAGTAGCCGACGTGCTGGCCCGCTGAACAGCAGTATCCATGGCTGGTACGAGGTCCACCGATGGTGGAGATGCACATCTGTCCGAATGAAAATCCTCCGGGGGCAATGACGTAGCAGTAGCAGGCGGCACTGGTGTGGAAGGACGAAATAAAGAGAGTGAACAGGACGGAAGAGAACCGGACGCTGAAGACTGAGAAGTGACTAAGTTGGAGTAAGGAAAAATATTTTCATGAAACCGGACATGACGACTAATATAAATTTTTCCAGTCCGAGGATCAAGACAACGATACCCCTTATACTCATTAGCATATCCTAGAAAAACACACTGAACAGAACGAGGAGAGAGTTTATTGGCTGAAGTGGCAGTAAAATTAGGATAACACGCACACCCAAAAACACGCATAAAAGAGAAGTCAGGAGACTGGTGAAATAATTTTTGATATGGAGAAAAACCAGTAAATTTTGTGGAGGGTAAGCGATTAATAATATAAGCAGCAGTCAAAATAGCTTCAACCCAAAAAGTGGCGGGCAGATTAGCATCAATTAGCATGGTGCGCGCTAACTCAAGTAAATGACGATGCTTGCGTTCAGCTAAACCATTCTGTTGAGGAGTGTCAGGACAAGATTTTCTAAAAAGAATTCCATTACTAGTAAAAAATGAGCGCATACTTAAATTATCAAACTCACCCCCTCCATCACTTTGAAAAATTTTAATTTTATGATCCAATAAATTTTCCACCAGACTCTTGAAAGATTTAAAATGAGTAAAGACTTCACTTTTACGACGCATGGGATATATCCAAGTAAAATGAGAAAAATCATCAATAAATGAAACATAATACTTAAAGCCAGAGGAAGATAAAATCGGTGACTGCCAAACATCAGAATGTATTAAAAATAAAGGTTTACTAGCATTATGAAAAACATCTTGAAATGGTAATCTCTGGGATTTACCCAAACGACAGGACGAACAATCATGATTAAAAGAAGACAAAGTACATAGTTGACCCGACTGCTTAAGACCATCTAAAACTCTACTGCCACAGTGTCCCAAACGACGATGCCAAAGTGGTCCAGGCGCCGCGTTTGAAAACAAAGCCAAAGGTGAGGAAGGAGACAGACGAATGGGATAGAGACCAGATCCGCTACTAGAAGCCTGAAGAAGAGTTGCCCCCGTGGTTTTGTCCTTGAGAAAAACAGAATTTTTATCAAAAATCACCATGCAATTATTATCAGCACATAGCTTTTGAATGGATAATAAATTATATTTAATATGAGGAACATGATAAACTGATTTTAACTGAAGAGGTCGTGCCAAGGAATTAATGGAAATATCACCAATATTTTTAATGGGTAGAGTGGTGCCATTGGCAACAGTAACAGTTAGTGGTCCGGAATAAATAGATTTATTAACTAATGTACCTTCCTGAGGAGTCATGTGTGCTGACGCACCGGAGTCTGGAAACCAGACTGCATCATTAGGCTCACCCATGGGAGCAGCAAGAGCAGGAGCAGATGGCTGGGAAAAACGAGAAGGACACAAAGCAGCAGAATGACCTGGTGAATAGCAAATTTGACAAACAACTGGCGGGGAAACAGAACCAAAGTGTCCATCAACTAAAGGAGAGCCTGCATAGCCATGATTAGTACGAGTAATAAAATAGGGATGCGTATTAAACGATGAAAAGACTGTATTACATAAAACTGAACCTGGTCGTCCATGAGAAGGAGCTGCTGGAGAATAAGCAGGTGGCTGAAAATACCCTCCTTGGGGCTGCTGGCCGGGCCTGGACTGATAATAGGCAGGCTGCGGACCGTACCCAGGAGCACCATACGCCGGCGGATTCTGCTGGCCGTGCCCTCTGCCTCGGCCGCGGGAGCCTCTCCCACGCTGGCCACGACGTCCTCTGCCCCTATGATTTTGATAACTACCACGCGGTTCATGACCGGGCCCTGCCGGAGCAGCTGGTTGAGCAACAAACGCAGCCGGTGATGAAGCTTCCTGGGAGCGCAAATAAAGAAGGCGTTGTTCTTGTTCCACAAGCCGCCTCCTAAGCTTATCAAACGTAAGGCCCTCCGGGAAAGAGGTTAAGGTGGTGATTATAGTCTCATAATCGGGACCAAGGCCAAGCAGTGTTTGCTCAATAATATCTTTCAGAGACACCGGAGAATTAATCGTGGCCAGAGCTTCAGTAATTTTCTGAATTTCACGCATGTATTGCTCCATAGTTTGATTTTCTTTCTTTTTAATATTATTGAACATGCGTTTTAACTCCATGGAACGAGCCATGCTTGCAGCCATAAACCTGGATTCTAGTTGGTCCCAGATGGTAGCTGACGTTTGAAGTGTATGAACTTCAATAAGTATATCACGGGATAAAGTAGCAAACAGCCAAGAACGAACTGTTTGATCAAGCTTTAACCAGTAATAATACTCATTGTTCATAACTTCAATACGATTAGCATCAAAAACATATTGAGAAACTTTAAATATAATCGAAATTCCATAATTCTTTTTTGGATTTTCAATCATATCCCAGTAAATTGAGAAACTCATTAGGTCATAGATTGAGAAACTCATTGAGTTTTAGTCATATCCTAGTAAATTTCCCATATAATTACAATCCCATTTTAATTTGCATTTTAAAACTATCCCCGGACAGGTGGATTAATAAGTTATTCTAGCTTGAACAACAATCTCTTTCTTGACAAATTAAATAGAGAGGCATTGATGTACTACGTACTTACGCAGTAATATAATTAAGCTTAAGAGTGAACTCTTTGTTATAAAAAAATGCAGATATTTTCATTTTTCCTTGATCCAACAAATGAATACGTAGTACTCCTTAATATTTAGAAAAAGAGACTTTTATTCAAATAGACTTTTAATCACTGAGTAAGTACATATGATCGCTCGATGATACATGGATTTTGTCTCAAAGAGTCATTACAAAAATAGAAAAAAAAACACGAAATCTTTTATTTTATACAAAAACAAAAATGCAATGAGATAGTGAGTAATAAGGAGTGAGTCGTCACTCGTCACAGATCAGCCTTGTTCGCCGCCTTAATATCCTCGCCGGTGGCCGCGGATTCGCCGGCAATGTTGATCACTCTGGTCTGCTTCTTCTTCTCCTCATTCACCTTCGGAACAGCGATTTTCAGCACTCCATCCTCCAAACGCGCCTTAATGTGCTCCAAGTCCGCATTCCCGGGCAGCCTGAATTGCCGCCAGAACTTCCCGGCAGTCCGTTCCGCCCGGTGCCACTTCTCGCCTTCCAATTCCTCCTCCACTTTCCGCTCGCCGCTCACCCTCAGCACCCTGTTCTCCTCCACCTCGATCTTCACGTCCTCCTTCTTCATCCCCGGGACATCGAGAGCAATCACGTGCTCCTTCGCAGTCTCCTTCCAGTCCGCACGCGCGAGGGCCAGCGATTCAGCCGCCTTCGGGATGGTTAGCGGGCTCTGCTCGAGGATCCTGAACGGATCGTCCTGGGGAAACACCAGATCCAGCAGCGGAGATCGCGTGTACGGGATGAGCGCGTGCGTTGGCGCCGGGAGGAATGCCGCGGCGGCAATGGCGGCTAGGAGGAGGCAGCCGGTGAAACTGATAAGCTTTGATTTCTCCATTTCCACAATGATGATAGATTTCGCTCTTCGATTCTTAATTGATTGTGTAATGTATATTGCGATTAGCTTTGGCGCAGATTTTGATTTCTTGTGTTTGATCTTGTCCGATTGAGGAGAAGGAAAGGATGGCGGTGGATTTATACAGGTTTAGGGGCGTTTATCGCGGTGGTTCTGGAGGGTTCGGAGGGAGATGTTATTTTGCGGAGACGTCTACAAGTTTCTGGAGGTGCATGGATACTGACTTCTTATCTACACTTGTCTAGATAGTTCAGGACGTATCGCGTACGGGTACCGCCAGGAGGACGGAGCCTAGTGCACTTTAATACGGAGTAATTTTTTCTTAATAGGGAGTAATTTTGTCATTTAAGAGTTTAAGAGGATTTTTAATGATGGACTAGGCTAGGAAACAAGTTTAGATGGGCTTACAGAAAAAACACAAAAATGCGTATAGATTATAAAATAGTCTATTTTTCTAGAAATAGACTAAAAAGTGTAAATAATATTAATATCACTTTTGTCACCCTTTAATTTTTTTTTGAGGTATTACCCGAAATAGGACTAAAAAGGTTTGAAAATTCCAAAATAGGACTGCAATGTTTTTATTCCCAAAATAGGACTAATTACTGTCATGTTTTGGCAGTACCAGACTTCAAACATGGCAGTATTTTCCAAACTTGACAGTAATTAGTCCTATTTTGGGAGTAAAAAACGTGGCAGTCCTATTTTGGAATTTTCAAACTGTTTTAGTCCTATTTCGGGAACTTTCCTTTTTTTTCGAAAATAGACTTGCTAGACTATATGGAGTATAAAGCATCCGCTTACTTTGCTTTGGGAAAATTTTACAAATAGAACCAAATCATATCAAATTTCCAAAATTAGGAGTTAAAATTCGTATAGGACATAAGTGCACAGGATTTGACAATTATACCCTTAATTTTAATACTCTGCTTCTATACATTAAAACTTCCCGATCGAATGGCAAAAACAACGGGCTTCAACCTTCTTCGACCGCACCTCAATGGAAAAGATTCAGTTCTCCAGATCTTCAACCTTCTTCTTGAAGGAGCAACAACACGCGATTACTAGAGGCGATGAGCGACGAAGGAGTCAGTGAACACGAACAAAAGGCGAAGAGAAAGAAGAAATCAGAGGCTCAAAACTTTGAAAAAGTGGAAGAAATTGAAGAACACAATCTGACAGTGATTTCGAAACAAAGAGCCCTAACAAGTAAGTTGTTCAATTCAATAGTGGGAGATCATGATCAATTATTCATATGAAATTGTCTTCTTCTCTTATTGTCTACTTCTCTTATGATAATAACTACTTTTCGTACAAGTTGTAATTGATATTTGACAAAATACAATTGTCCAGTTCCTATCCAAGTAGTCAATAATAGATTTGGTAAAACTGAGGAGATTTACAAGTTAGTGCATAATGAGTACCTAGATAGCTTAAAACTGGATATGCACAATTCAATTGCAAATTACGAGTACATAATTATAAATATACAAGGCTTTGAAATGTCGAGGAATTTGCATCAATATGGTATATTCACTTTTGTGGGTTTCACTTTTGCATTGCAAATAAGGCCATTTGAATGTTTCCCAACTCTTAGGACAATCTTTAATGTATATATTGTCTGTAGTGTTTATATTATATTTTCTTCATGCTACAAAAGTTGATTATGCCACGTCTTTGGTTTATTGCTTTACAATCAAATTTCTATTGATATAGTTTCATCAATTTGATAAAAGACTAAAAACATAGCAAGAACCATAGAGTAGATAATTAGGGGAGTACTTTTAACTGCTTGTTTATGTTTCTTGATTATTATTGGCTTATACTTGAGCAGGTAGAGGCCGGGTAAATTCTAAGATAAATTACTATGTAATGTATCTTTATGCTCTATGGTGCAGAATAACTTAGTGCAATGCTAACTGTCTTCTATGCGCTGCAGTTTGAATATCAGAAAATGCGATCAAGACAGAATGAGCTTAAGATACCAATAATCACATCAACTCGTCTTCATTTGGAACATGGACCACCAAGACAGTAATCAAGTGTTTGTGCTGATGGAAATATTCAAGAAGGTAGGAAAGTTCTTGAAAGTGGCACTGGACTTCAACAATGCATAGTTTGAAAGTGTACACTTTTATTGCACTGATAAAGAAGATGGTGGTACGCAAGAAAAGAATGGTGAGGGTGCAGTAGTAAGTGGAAAACAAAGAGTAAACATGTTTCTTAAGAGAAAAAAATAGTTAGCCATCAAGTCAAGGATAGAGCAATCATGTGTATCACAATGGCTGCAGCGCGCACTACTGATGCAGGTGGCCTGAATTAAGAGTGTATGTAATACAAAGACAGAGTGTGACCTAAGATGCAATGTAATAGTTAGATTGTCAGGAAGAAAATATATGTCAAACTTCAATCTATTGATCATTAAGTATTGTGATTACATATTAGTTACATTTGGTTTTGAAATATGACAGTATAAAGTATCCTTTTCAAATTAAATGAGCACTCATTTTAACTTTTTATTTCATGCTGATATCACTGTAAACTCTAATATAATTATGGAATGAAGTCCATAAGTAGTCAATAACAAGTCTTCAATAAAACAAGCATAGACATTAAATGACTATAACTACGAGAAGAAATGACAAGAAAGCTACTAATGAATGCAAAAACGAAGGAAGCGGGTGGATTAAGATAGTCTATATACAAAAGTAATATGTGGTCTAAGATGCAATGCAATAGTTATATTGTTGGAAAGAAAAATGCATGTAAAACTTTCTTCTTTTGGTCATTAAGTGTTGTGATCACATATTAGTTACATTTTGTTTTGAAATATGCCAATATACTATATCCTCTTTTTTGTTTCAAAAGAAATGAGTGTTCATTTTTACTTTTTATTTCATGATGAGATCACTGTAAACTTTGATATAAACATGGAATGAAGTCAGTAAGTAGTCAATAGTAGGTCATTAATAAAACAAGTGTAGACATTAAATGAATACAACTAAAGTAATAAGTACATAAGGCAGTTACAACTACATGTAAAAGCTTATAATGTAACAATGGAGTTTGATAATCTGGTTAATTAAACTCTAGATACAAGACCCATGAAATAAATATGAGCATATTGTTGTTAAATGCGGACACAAAAACTCAAAACATTTCTCGTAAATAACTGTTACACATTTCGTGCATTAAATATGAGCATATTAATTGGAAATTTTGGTTGCAGTCTTGCATATAAGGGAAGAAACGAGAAGCGTGCTAAGTAGATAAAGCCGGTATGTTAATTGCGTTTTGGAGTAGGTAGTAAATATGTACAACACAGGTAGTCAGTAATTAGACAGTAAAAGACAATAATTTCAAAGATGATGTGTGCTGGTTCTGAAACATATATTATTCAATAAACTTGAGTTTGAATGACAAAATAACATAACATCCAATGCCAAAAACCATGACAACTAATATAAAACTTCACTGCCAATAAACCATGACAATTTAAAAGTGCGGGAAAAAAAACTAAAATCCTCACAACTCTTATTGGATGAAACGAAAGTGATATGACATTTCGTGTTTTAAGAACTACAGGTTGGAATAAGATCACTACAAGACTTCTTGTTGTGCCTCCCTTTTTACACCATGAACATTGTTTCCGCTGTCGAGAACAAAATTCTTCAGTTGAAGGTAAACGCTTCTTTTTAGGCTAACGAGTTGGCATTTGAGAACCAATAGGCTGCACAACAAGAAAGTGTAAGGGAAGTTTAGCTTATAAATGCACAACAAGTTTAAGCAATAATTGCAGGAAGGTATATGTCAGATTTTAAGCTGTAAATGCAGCAACTTCAAGCCCATATAAAGGGTTCAAATGCAGAACTTTTTACCTGTAAATGCAACTTGTTAAAGGGAATATTAAGCCTATAAATGGACAGCAAGTTTAAGCAGCAATTGCAGCAACTTAAAGGCCATATTAAAGCTCCAAATGCAGCAACTTAAAAATATAAACGCAGCAACATATAGGTTTGCTTTGATGCTGTAAATGCAGCAACTTCAAGCCCATATAAAGGGTCTAATGCAGAATTTTTTACTTGAAAATGCAACTTGTTAAAAGGCATATTAAGCCTATAAATGGACAGCAAGTTTAAGCAGCAATTGCAGCAACTTAAAGGTCATATTAAAGCTCCAAATGCTGCAACTTAAAACTCTAAACACAGCAACATATAGGTTTGCTTTGATGCTATTAATGTAGCTACGTAAAGGCCACATTTTAACAGGTTACAAGCCAGATTAATGTCATATTGTAATCTCTAAATGCAACAGGTTTAAGGGTAAATATATAAAACTACAAGTTTCGAGTAAAGCATCCCACAAGGCAGTATCTCTAGGTTTGAACCAATGACGATATATCTTCTTCTTCCATCAGTAAAACGTCATCCCAGAGGGTGGGAAATACTCATGTCGCATATCCTGGGTAGAATTTGTGTTGTTTAAAAAAAAAAAACAGCCCAACTTTTTGGGGGGTTGCACTGATTTCTGGTTGAGGACTTTTGTCGAGCACTTTATTTGCATCAATTGAACCCTCCATTTCAGAAAGTTCTTGGACTATAACCGGCTGTATGTAGTTCACCGTAAGACAATCAAAGATTTATATGAAGTAGAAAAAACGAAATCGACATTGGAAACTAAAAACAGAGAAGACAAATACTCTGAACTTTGATTTCAAGGTCTGAATGAGAATTCAAACTTGAAGATGAAAGAACTCATGCATAATATATAAACGAAATATGTTTATACATGAAAACATCAAATAATAACAAATTTTTTTTAACAAAAATGAGTATAAAACTTACCAAAAAGTGCAGAAAATTTGCACAACGTATGAAGCTTGATGAACAATTGAATGGCGCTTCAGAATAATTATTGGACCATACGAGCACAATCGAAACCGGAGAAGTGATCACGGATGAATAAAAGGACGAAGTTCTTGAGCTCGGTTGATTACAGACACGAGGAGCGAAAGAAGAAGAAAAGGTCGTTGTGGATGAGTTCAGTCGTTGCCCAAGTCATTCGCCTTTGATACGCAGACTAAAGTGGAGGGTAAAACTGGCAACTAAAAATTAAGTTTTCTAAAACATGACTAAATAAAACCTACGGATGGAAAAAATCTAATTAAGTCCTAAACTTGTAAACTTGGTATGATTTAGTCTTACTAACAACAATTTTCTCCTTTTTTGCTTAAATCTCCCTTTCTCCGTACTA